AAGTCTTGGTGATCCAGCTCCAATTATTGAGGGAAAACCAGGACACTTTATACCGTGGGGGTAGTGGTGAAAACCTTAGCTGATAGGTACTTTTAGGATGCCTTATTTACATGTGGAAGTGGGCTCCTGCCAGGCTACCTACCAGACTGCCTGAAAATCACACAGGAAAACGCTGGCAGTTCCTGAGCCGGAGGCCATGTTTCTGTGATGGCTGCTTCAAAAGATGAGTCAGGAAGATGCCGGGAAGGCACCCTGCTGATAAAAGGAGTCTCTACAATGAAGCCGAGCCCATGGGCTATCCGGACATGAAGAGACTGCTACTTTACACAACAAGGGTCCCCAACACAAGAGTATAGTTAGCATTACAAGTTCTAGACAGGGAACCAGAAAAATGTCCATTGGAATTTCTTGACGAGAGCTTCCAAAAGTATCCTTCTTTTGGGTTCCTCCTCATTTTTCTTTTGTTTGCCAAGACTGGACTCAAGAGTGATGGACTCAGCATTTGCTTTCAGGTATTTTGATAGCTGTTGGGGTGGCTATCAGTGTCAGTTCCCTCACAAAGGCTTCTTGATAGGGGGAGAAAATATTTAGTCATTTTAGAACAATAGCGGTTTGTCTCCCTTAGCTACAGGAAGGCACTACAGTATTGCAGACCAAGATTTGAAGTCTTATATCTGAGCAACACTTTCTGATTAGAAACAAAATCATCAATGAGAAATAATTGTCTAAATAACACTATATGGTCTTAAGCCTGATGTCTGGGAAGTGTAATCCCTTGAACTCTTAAAGAAATATACTGATCACTTTAATCTTTGGTTATACTTTCCTTTTGGGTGTTTAAGACCATACAGTTGGCCCAAATAAATCAATTTACTTTTACAGTTAAGGTCATTTGAGGATCTGTTCTCAGGGGTCACATGGGCTTGGGATTCTGAGATTTTCTTCTAGGTGAAAGTGGACAGGTGGACAATCCTGCCAGTATTCATTTTTTGTAAAATATTTTACTAATTTTTATTTTATGTGTATCAGTGTATTGCCTGCATGTAAGTGCATCTGTGTTATGAAATGCCCATGGAGATCAAAAGAAGGTGTTGGATCCCCTAGAACTGGAGTTATAGATAGTGGTTAGCCACCATGTGGGTGGTGGGAATTGAACCCGGGTCTTCTGCAAGAACTGCCAGTGCTCTTAATCACTGAGCCATCTCTCTAGCTCCCTAGTATTCATTTTTACAGTCAAATAATTCATGTCTTCTTATATGATAGGCCTTCCTATGTTGAACACTTTGTCCTTGATAAGTTTTCTGTTTTCAGTCTTCACCATTTTTAGACTTTTCGCTGTCAGTGTTTGTATGTCAGTTTGCTTTTTCCTGCCACCTTCTGTATGTACTTCAGTTCCTCACTGATTGGTTCATTACTTTATCCAGTTAACAGATGTTTATTTGATTGCATTAGACATACAGAAATGAAAAGGACCTCACTTTCACATAAAAAATAGTTAAGTTCAAGCACAGTCAACATGATCCTAATGAGTGGAAACAGACTTTTTGAGGTTTCACCAAATCTGTAACAAGTGTTCCTGAATTTGAAAGATCTATGGCTCTTCAGGAGGCCATAAAGTACGTTAAGCAAACTAAATGTGATCAGATGTCTGGCACTGCATCTGATGTGATGGGAATGCTCAGACTAAGGCAGTGTGCTTAGAAGACCAGTATCAAATTCATTTTTTTCTTTAGTTTAAAAAAATTTTACCAAAATGTACATAATAAGATTTATCATTGAATTATTTTAAATGTACAGTTCTGTTATAATAAATTTACACATTGTTGTGTGACTTTCACAACTGTCCATCTCTGAACCTTTATAACCATCTCAAGGTAAAACTGCCCAATAAAAAAATGGCAACTCTCCATTACCCTGTCCCTAGCCTGGAACCACTAATTTGCCTTCTGTTTCTAGGAAACAAATCATAAACTCTGTCTGTTTTCTGTACTGTCTTTGGATATCACGGAGTAGGTTAGCAACAGACCTAGTGTGCATTTCATTTTTAAAGCCAGGCTTTAACCAGGATGTTTTTCTTTTGTTGTGAAGGAAGAAGATGTGAATATTGACGACCTCAAGTTGGAGATCCTGTGCAGAGCACTACAAAGGGATGAGTAAGTCTTCACCGGTGCCAGGGCTCAGGCACCAGGCCCATGTACATGTGCCATCATGTGCCAGATGGGCTTCTGAATATTTCAGCATGTTGGGAGTGTTTGGTGGTTTCATTGGTCACCTTGCTTTTTTTTTTT